AAAAGTCAACTGTTATATAGGATGTCATTTATATGAAATATTTAGAATTGGTACATACATAGAAATAGAAATTAAATTAGTGATTGTCTGGGCCTGGGGGAAGAAGCATGTGGGGGTTATGTGGTTTCCTTTTGCGGGTGATGAAAATGTTTGACACTAACTAGAGGTAATTGTCATACAACATTGTGAATATAGTAAATGCTGCTAAGTTGAATATTTTTAAATTAAATGATAAATTTGCCTCTATTGAAAAAATACAAGGAGGCAAGAAGGAAACTTCTGAAATTCTCTATCTGAGAGTTTTGAACTAGATACCTCTGAATGTTAGCAACATCAGCTGGCAGAGAGCTCCTTTGGGGTCTTCCACAAAAAAAGTCCCTGGCCAGAATAGAAGAGGTACTTTCATTCTCATGAAACTGGGCTCTTGGCATTTGTACATATATCCCGTGTTGGTCTCCTCCCATTTCTGGACTCTGACTAGAGACCCGGAGTTCTCAAGACTTGGCCTACCGAGTCCTGGGTAAACCAGGTGTGTCTGTTTTTCACATACCAGACTCTAGTGGTTAAGCCAATCGCCAAAGTTGAGGTTTTATAGAAATCTGTTGCTCTAGACTTTCTGGAGAACTAATGGCATTCTGGTGAGTCTGGGCTCACGTTACAACCTGGTGACAATCAGCTGGGGTTTGGCAGGAGCTGCTTTTAGAACAACCTTGAGTTCTTCCCCATCCCCCTCCCTCCCTCCCCTTCTCCCCACCCCCACCCCAACCCTCTTTTCACCTTTTTCTCTCTCCCTCTCCTCCTTCCAGCCAGGCACTGAGTTACTGGTTCTCCCTTCTTCCCATTCTGCATGGTCTAAATTTCAGGCTTTAGAAAACATTGTTTGCAAATCTTTCAATTAAAATGTAAATCTGCCTCCCTATAGGAAGAGGCCCACAGTCCTCGCTCTACCCTGTACTCCCTCAACTTTCCCTTGCTCCCTGGGATCCCTTGGAGAAGATACCAGATGCTAATTCTCAATCTGAGGATGGGAAGAGGACGGAGGGGAAAATCCCAGGGCCTGAAGTCCTTCCTGATGGGTGGCAGTGCCCCAGGCTGAGGGAGGAGTCACCCAGCAGGCCTGTCCTCCCTTTGGCCCCTCCCCCTGCTCTGTCAATTTCACAATTTTCCCTGGAGCAACCCCCTGTCCTGCCTGGGCTGGGGTGACTGGCCTGAAACCAGTGTCCTCGCTGGCTCTTGAACACATTTCGTCTGCTGAAGTGCCACTTCGGCATACAAGTCCAGGTGACTTGGATTCCACCCAGCGCCCACCCAGAACTCTGGCAGGTAGTCACAATAGCAATAATAGCATGGTGCTGTGAAGTAACCTAGCACCTGTGAGGCCTCGCTTTTGTTTGTGTTTTGACTCCCTTTTCTTCCCTTAAACATAATGTGGAAGAAACCAAGGAATGGTAGGCTTTCACCCCACTCCCGGGAAGTTCTGCTGTCCTTGGTAAAATGGAAAGGGGTTTCTCCAAAAACAGGTAGTAACCACCAACCAACCAGGAGGAGAAAAATGATGACAGTGCTTAGGATTTCTTGTGACTGTTCCTGTCCCTACAAAAAATTCCTAGGATTTATGTACACCTTTGTCAGAGGGCAGCGACCTGTTCCAGATGCCAGCTAGTGCCAGCTGTCCCCAAACACTATAAACAACTGTGGTCTTGATCGATTAAGATTTATTGGATGTGCTTGCTGTCTTGATTTTGGACGAGAATACCTGGCCTCTCTGAGACGTGGTTCCATAGGGCATTGCGGTTAACTCTGAAAAATACAAATTTTGAACTTGCTGTCACCTGGAAGGTGCCAGATTTCTCTTCTTGATTCTGTGGCTAAATGCTGTAAGGAAAAAGTGAGTTGGGGCTTTGGCGCTGGTGAGGACAAGCAGTAGTGGGAAGTGGTGAGTGGATTGGGAACAAGTCACTTTTTACCCTAAGGAGCTTCTTGCCTGCTCAGTGCTACTTTGCCTTAACTTAACTTTGGTTAAGTTAAATTAGGTGATCCATACAAACACCCCCACCCAAGCACCTGGCTAGGTCAGTGCTCACCTGTCTGCTGCTGTTACTACTGTAAGCAGGGAGGAGGGAGTTGGAAGAAATGGCTTCAGCAAAGATTTACGTTCCTAGGACCTGCTCAAATACTACTAGAGTCTGAAACTGAACTTCGCTGGAAGTGCTAAGTAATTAGGGGAGGGGGTTTGGGGAGACGGGGACCTTGGCTGCCTTCAGGTTTTTGAGAGCTCTTCCTGACAGGAATGTTCCATGTTTGGAACCCGTCCGATGCACCTAAGTTCCTGTTCATTAAAATGGTTCCTCTGCATTCCAAGGAGGAATTGGACCACTAAGTGTGATACAGTTGATCAGTAAAACCCTGATGCCTCAAAAAAAGAAAGCAAAATCAAGCCATTTCTGGCTGGCAGGACACGTTCTCCATGCGGAAAGCTTGATTCCTAAAGTCTGTGGTGTCACCTCACCAGAGGTTCCCGCCTTTGTTTGGTTTCTGCTCAGGAAATCCAGCGCAAAGAGTCCTTCCTGACCACATAGCCAGGCAGGGGGAGCGCAGGAGCGCCCTCCTCTGACTGCCAGCCTGTGTTGGCTCCAGAGGGCCTTGGCTGTGTGGGCCACAGAGAAGCTCAGTGGTTTCTGCAAATTATCTGTCTGGGAAATGATGAACCTGTTCGCTTTGATCTTTCCTCTTGGGGAGGACAGTCAAGGAACAGGGCTGGATAATTTGTCCTATTATTGCCAACCCTACTAAGGTAAACAGTGGAACATGGTCTGCTAATAAAGAGATCCAACCTGGACTGTTTGGAGGGTTAGAAGCCAGAAGCTGTGTGTGTGTGTGTGTGTGTCCTTTGGTAAACAGAACTGTTGAGTTAAAAAAAAAAAAATGGCCATTTCCGCTAACTTTCTCTTCCCTTTTTTTGTTTTTTGTTTTTTGTTTTCTAAAGATCTGAATTTCCTGCTGCTATTCACAAAGATGCTTTTTATCTTTAACTTCTTGTTTTCCCCACTTCCAACACCGGCACTGATCTGCCTGCTCATCGTGGGAGTCTCCATCTTCCTGTGGCTCATCAACAGGCCTCCACCAGTCTTTCCTGTCGTTGATCTGAGCAACCAGTCAGTGGGAATCGAGGTAACTTGCCCATCACCTTTTTAGTGTGTCAACCTTGATCAAACATAAACTGTCATTCAAGATCTTGGGACACCTCACGGTGAGGAGTGGCTGGAGCGTGGGAAAGTAAACTGTTTACATTCCCAGTCAAAAAGAAAATCTACAAGTGCAATGAGAGATTACTACAGGCACATTTGTCTTTGTTTAAAAATGAAATGCAGCTAGATTTTAGAATACAGTAATCTGGGCAGGGGTTGGTAAACCCTGGTGGGTAAAAGCACCTTCTTTTTATCTATTTCTTTTTGGAGGGCTACTAGTAAGTTAAAGATGATGTGTTTATTTGTTCATTTGTTTCCTTGCATTGGTCATTTTTGTACAATATTTGCAATATTTGATTTCCTTATTCAGGTGTAGTTCCCATAGGTCTCCCATAAAGGGATGTGTAAAACTAAAAAGGGAGACAAATCACATGTGCAGAGAGTCTAAATTATTTACTGTCTAGATTTTTTTTTCAAAGATTTATTTATTCATACAGAACTGGGGTACAGGCCAGAGATGTGGAGGGTGAGAGGATTCACCAGGAACAGAGTGGGGAGCAGAACAGGCAGATCAAGGAAGTACACTGCTGAGGGGAGCAGTAGGCGGGTCAGGAGAGGTCTGCCGCGCCATGTGGATCTCCTCCCGGGCAGGCGGGGATCGAACTCATGCGGAAGTGGCTTACGCTTCTTAGTGCAGTGCTTTACCACGCCATGACACCAGGGAGGGCCCTACTGTCTAGATTTTAACAACAGTTTGCTGACACAGGACCTGGATGACTGAGTCAGTATTTTGTGGATGGGAGAACATTTTCATCAAGATACCATATATCTGAGAATAGTAAAGAAGTGGTTTCCTAAGTGGTTAAAATTCGGCTTTTGGCTAATATTCATTCTTAAGAATGCTAAGCATTGAGGGAGGCTTTCCCACCTTAGTTCCTGACTTTCATAATATCATTTAGTTCCCTAGACCTCCCGGCAAGCGGAAGCTCCAAGAATGTTCTCTTTATCAGTTCTCACTTTCAACCTTCTTCAGAGAATTAAGCATTCCTGTTCCCATGCAGGATAACCCCTTGTCCCTTGAATTCTTTTTCATCTTCTCCCCTCGACTTAGGAGTCTTACTCCAAGTTACCGACATTCTCACCACCCCTAATTTGGTGTGTTGGCACACTGGTGTGTTCTTCACTGGCATCTTCCTATCTGATTCTTCTTCAGTCCACCCTTTCCCCTCAATCCTTCCTCTTTCCACGGAGTTCTTGAAAAGTCGTGTGCTGTGATTTCCACTTCTGAATTCAGCCCACAAGACTGACCTTTTATTGTTTCCTCCAAACTTCTGTGGGTCATTTGTATTCTATCTACCTTTAAAATTCAGTGGCTCCTGCTTCAGCCTTCCTCTCAAAGGACTTGAGACTTCTTAACCCACCCCTCCTTGCTTTTCATGAGGTCCGTCACTGATATTTCTTCCTAATTCTAAGACTGTCTTTCTTTGCCACTTACGTGCTTCCCTCCCCTTTTCCAAAGGTTTTATGCTCACTATCCTTTGATTCCTCCAAATCAACTCCAAAGCAGGGGTTTACAAATATGTCCTTTAAGGAACAAACTAAATAATTTGGACTTTGCAAGCTCATAGGCTCTGTCGCAACTGCTCAGCTTTACTGTTGTAGCTTGAAAGCACTGGACAATAGGTAAACAAATAAGCATGCCTTTGTTCCAATAAAACTTTCCTTATACAAGCAGGTAACAGGTCAGACTTGACCCCAGATCATGGTGTTATTCCCTACTCTAAATCCTCACAGCCAAGAAAACCTTTCCCACCCTTGTGCCTTGGACCCAAAGGCTCAGACCCCTAAATCTGACTTCTAAGTTCCAGTCCACCTCAGTGACATTCAAGTCCCCAGGCTCAACACGGTACTTTGTTGCATATCCTCTCTTTATGCACGTGTGTGTGCATCCACACACTCACACACACACACACACACTTTCCTGTTTCCCCTCCTGCTGTCTGTTCAATTCATCTTTTCTTACTATTGGCCTAACGTTGAGTCTGAATCATCTTTCAGTCTTCCTCCTCCCTCAGCTCATCTGTGTAAATGAACAGCAAGACCCTGTCTTCCATTAGTAGATGAGCTTCATTTTTTGATACCTTGATTTAATGTGACATTTCACTTTCAATTAACGCTAATTCTCTTCACTAAGTTGGATCCCTTGCTATTGCCTCATGTGTCACACTGTACTTTCACAGTACTATTTCTGTAGTAATCAACGTTTTTGAACGCTCATTTAATTGATGCATATTCTTCTTTAGACTTTCCTGAGCTTGGACCCTGCCTCTGGTTCCTACTGTGGCTCCAGGATCCACTTCGGGTCTGGTCCTCCGTTTCCAGCTGACATTTCTAGTCATGTCTTTCGCTGCTCCCTACTTCTCAAAGATCCTCTTCTCTAGCTGCCCACCAGATTCTGGAGGTATTTGTTTTGTCCTTTACCTTTATTAAGTCTGTTCCTTCGCTTAGGATTTTTCTTCCTTTTTTCACTGTTACCAAACCATATCTCTTAGGTAAAGCCTTGCTTATCTTCAAAGCCTCTCTTGAAATATCACTTCTCTATAGGCTTTCTAGTCAATACAGAAATGATTGCTTCATTTACTCCTAAAATGAGTTACTTTATTGCATCATCCACAGCATAATGTCATAGCTCTTCTCACCTCATTCCTACTCCCAAAACTAGTTTATGACTTACTCCTAGCAACATTTTTCTCTGAACCCCTTTTGGGTGTACAAGATTTGCAGGGACTGGAACATAGTATATTTTGATAGATGTTGAAACCATTTTTTAAAAATGATTTAAAGCTATAATATTATCCCTCCTGCATTTTAAATGTGTTTGTGTGTGTATCCCTGGGATGGAATGAGATATGCCAAAAGCGTAATATGACAGTCTCTAGATGATTGGATTGTGGATCACATTTTCTATGAATATATATACATATATATATATACACACACATATATATGTATGTCTATATTCATAGATATACATATATATACATATATATATATTCATAGAGAAGTCTTCTATATATATCCCCTTTTTACAAAATTTCTATGATGTGACGATACTACAATTTTGAGATTTAAAAACTGGTTGATTGACAAGTGAAGGAGCAACTCCTGTGACCTCAATGAGTCAACGTTTATGTTTTCTTCAACCCATAAGGGTTAGGAAGGAATTGGGAGACACTCATGCTTGACCTAAACTTGATCTTGTGTCTTAGGGAGGAGCAAGGAAGGGTGCTTGCCAGAACAGCAACGACCTACTAAGTTACTACTTCTCAGATGCCAGGACAGCATATGAAATCTTCCAAAGAGGACTTAATGTGTCTGGTAAGCTCGACAGTCTATCCTTGCCTATAGAAAGTTCAAGGAGGGAGGGGTTTTATTCCATACCTTCTCTTCTCTGTCTCCCTTCTAAAGCCCAGCTATTTATATGTGGTGATCCTAGTTGAATCTATTATCTATCCTGGTAGGATAGGTAATAGAGACAAACAGGGCAGACTTGGGTTTGAAATCTGTCCTCCATTACCAGCTGTGTGACCTTGTTCAAACCACTTCACCTCTCTGGGTCAGTTCCTCACTGAAAACAAATGGTGGTTAAGAAGTCAACAAGAAGGCACTTTTTTTTTTTTTAACATTTTTTTTTT